GGAGGAGGCTCAAATTCAATGCTCATCTCTTTTAACATAGTCAAATTTGGATATATTCTCCTAAATTAAGGGGAAAAAATCTGTTTTGCATTTTAGAAACCTTACTTTCTAAAACAAATCATTTAGAAGATGATTATAATAACTTCTTTTTAAAAACCAATTCTCCAATTCATACACTTGGATGCCAAGCTTGCTTCTTTTGCAGGTGAAAAGAATATCTGTAACAGAAGTGTAGGTCCAGAAACCATCAGCAAAGGAACCCAGAGTGGCAGCAGGATTGTCCTGGTGTCAGGAGATCTAATTCTAGAGAACCAATGGGAATCCTGTCACAGAATCACCTTGGTAGGACCCCTTAGCCTTCGCAGAGCCACCAGCCCTGGGTGTACCAGCAAGTGGAGCAGCAGCACTGTGTCTGTACAACACTAGCAAGCAGGACCCTTGCCCACCCTCCCTGCCGTGGGAATCTGATCCCATTCTAATCTCTGATATTCCAGAGCTCAAACTATACAGTGTTTCCGAAAGCGTCGCTGAACTGCCAGGAACGGAAACCATTCTGACAGGCCGGCAGGGATATTGTTACAGAACGATTGGAAGAATTACTATTACTTGGGAAGTGGTTTATTTTCAAAATGTCAGTTCTCAAGTAAATATTCTACAAAGGGTTATTCTGGCTTTTCCACACTGCAGAATAAACACTTCCAAGTCGAAAGGAAGTCCACTTAAGCTGGAACGCAGGTATCCACAGACCATGCAGGTTCAGATCCAAATCCTACTGACTGATACAAAAGAGGATCAGAGTTCTGTTCTCCAAAAACCAACCCCCCGCTTAAAAGTCATCATATCAATTAATCTGAAAGGTCTATAAATTATTTTGCATATGACCCTCTACAGAAACAGTATGGGAAACTTCAAGAGGGTCACTGCCAACTATTTGTTCATTTCAAATACAGATAAAAATATCTTACATTTTAGAGTCAATAATTTGCCAATGATCCAACAGAGAGGCAAAGGACAGAAGAAGTGAAAGCATCACAGATTACAGGCTTTAATTTTAAAATGAATCCTGAATGTCTGGCAATTGTTCATACTTCTAACGACTC